TTTTAAATATATTTTATTTGATAAAAATTTTGATATACAATATTTATAAATACCTGTAAAGTTTAAAAATAATTTTGAAAAGTTTGTAACTTGTAAGATATTAAATCTTTTTTTGGAATACCTCCACCAATTTATACAAAGTATAGCTTTTTTACTCTACATAATATCTGCGCAACGACATCAACGACTGTCGTTAAGAGTTATAGAATCGGCCCTTAAAAGTCCCAGAATTTCTGTAGAAAACAAATAATTAACCAAAGACCTCTGCAAGTGGTGAGTTATATTTTTGTGCAAAATTTATTAAATTGCATGTTAGTTCAAAAAACTCAATATTATCTTTTACTAAATCTATAAATTTATTATCAAATATCATTGCTTTGACTGCTGTTTTTATTGTTTTAAATCGAGCATCATTAACTATTGGTCTTTTCATGTAATGAAGATTTTTTTATTAAACGTTTATAAGAATCCCGATATGTACACCGAGTATCACAAGGAGTTACTATTCTTGTATCTCCTATATCAACTAAAGCTTTTCCATAAAGTGAATGCTTAAATTCTTTCAAAATATCTTTAACACATTTTGTAAGATTTTCATTCATAACGTCCTTTGCAAGCAAATTTGCTGTATGGCTACTATAATTTGCTATGTCAAATATCTACATTTTTGCCCATTCTTATAGATGTAGCATTATCTGATACTACTGTATATACCATATAAATTCATTCCTATTTGGATGGATTTGTTCACAGTATCAGTTAATTTTTCACTTGTTTCACTTTCACTAGTAACGTCCCAAGCGTTAAGAAATACAGCAAGTCTTTTCACATTGTGCAATATAGTTACAACAGTTTTCGTGTTATTAGAATTCTTCCAACCATCTATAAGTAATACCAATTCAGAATTAATGAAATCTTTCGATGTTTTGAGACATTGTTCATATTTCTCTAATAAAGTCAATGATAAGGCTTTACGTCCTGGTAAATGTAATGCATAAGCTGATCAAAGAGCTTTAATAAAATTTTTTAAGTGATCAGATTCTATAACATTAAAAGGAATATTGCAACAAAACAAAAAGCTACATAGCTAACGAGATTTGCCCTCTTGAGGAAAATGAAAAATCTAACAGTGTTATTCTTACGAGCTTGACTGGTGCAGCCAAAGACACAACAAAAAACTTTACTTTTATTTGTTCGCGGTGAAAATTTCATGATTTTTTAACTAATTTGTATTAAAATTCAGCTGATTGCCATATAAATACAAACAAAGTTACCTACCCGCACTAATTCCGATATCTCCCGCCAGGTAGCGTAACGATATATCGAATTTCCCAATAGGCCTTCTACAATAAGCCGCAAATCAGAAGTTCTAAGCGATCTTAAGTCATAATCGGTGAAGTTCGCCAATAGCTAACTTGAACGACTTGGTTAAGACTGGTTAAGACTTCTGACGTTATGACTTGCGGCTTATTGTAGAAGGCCCATTAAAGTTGATTAGAGTTATAACATCGACATTAAAAGAACGTGTAAACGACGTCGACGTTATAATTTCGACGTAAATCGAGCCGCGTAAACACACAAGTTAAAAAAATAAGGTAAAAATATGGAAACGAAAAAGCGCGAAAGTTGGGAAACCGATGAAACTCGATATTTTCTTAAATTGATGAGAGAACGGCAAGTGATGAAAAGTTTAGACGGCAAAAGGTTTCGAGCAGATGACATTTTTAACAGCTTAGAATCGTCTATGAATGAAAAAGGTTACATTAAAACGTCAAAGCAAACGCAAACTAGATTTAAAACACTGAGGCGTAAGTAAAAATATATTTTATAGGAAATAAAATAAATTTTTTGGTAATGCATGCTTTTGATTTATTGAACGATAATTTTGTATTGTAATGTTATTTGTTATTTTTAGTTCAATATAACAAAATCAAAAGATAAATGGGAAAAAGTGGATCTGGCAATTACATATCCTTATTTCCGTATGCCGAAGAAATGAGCCAACTTTTGGATTTTCGAATTCCCATTGCTATACAGGATGATGTAGACAGCACATCATTACAAAATATCTCTGAGATCAGTTACAGTAGTAAGTGATTCTGTTACATATGTAATTTTATGAATTGTAGTAGGTAAGAGCCTAATGAAAGCATATGTATGAGGTAATATTGTTCTATAATAGATGAAAATACTATTTTATGCTAGATTCAAGCAACAGCATTTACAAAGATGCTCCAGATCCACGAGATGGTGCAGTCTCAGGGTGTTCATCAATGTCGGACAATAATTCGACAACAGACTTTACCGCGCGCCGTGCGATCGGTGGGGACGGTAGGTTGTATATTCGGCAACAGTAGGCCGGTCGGTCGCGCTTCTTCGACTATCTTTAAACGTTAATATCTCGTTAACTATTGCGCAACCTACAAAATGGTATAAGAATTTTCGATTTAATTCGGTCTGTTCTACCTGCTCGTGATCGATTACCCGGTAATTTTCAAACACCCTGTATAATATTATGACATATTGTGTATATTGTATGTATGCGGTTTGTTACATATTGTGATATGTTATGTTATTGAAATTCGATTGAGATTCACGATATACTTTCAGAAAGCATCTGCAACAGCAGTTAGCAAACATGCAGAAGACTATTGTTAAACTCGAGAACGAGAAAAAGTTGCGAGCGGTCAAGAGCATGTCACAGAACACAAGCGTCACTTAGAGGAATTTGCGTTCAACATTCTTCGCCGAATCTTTATGCCAAGGTAAATCCAAATGATAATACATTCAGAGAAAAAACGGGTCGTATGGTCTTCAAAAGATATTGCAAGCGCAATATCTTTATAATGCGTTAGTCCAAAGCTATACCGCTGTTTACGGAACGTAATGGAGCTACCACTTCCTGCACTTTCAACACTCCGAAGGTGAGCAAGTAATATTAGTGTAGATGAAGGTATATTGACATCTGTGTTGCAGTGTGTGCAAGCTAAGGGTAAAGGTATGCAAATGAAAGAGAGTCATTGGCATTTGATGAAATGTATTTGAATTATAGAATACCCATCGATAGAGCATATGTAGTAACTGAATAATCAATGTGCATATTACAAGCATATGAGAGAAGTATAACATATGCCAAAGGTCTTATGCAAGAGGAAAAAGAAGAGCAAGTAATATTAATGTAGATGAAGGTATATTGACATCTGTGTTGCAGTGTATGCAAGCTAAGGGTAAAGGTATGCAAATGAAAGAGAGTCATTGGCATTTGATGAAATGTATTTGAATTATAGAATACCCATCGATAGAGCATATGTAGTAACTGAATAATCAATGTGCATATTACAAGCATATGAGAGAAGTATAACATAGGCCAAAGGTCTTATGCAAGAGGAAAAAGAAGAAGACTGAATGCCAATCTCTTAGAAGAAAAACAGCATATATATACATATAGATTTATACAAGATGGCATATCTATGTTAAAGGCCACAGCACAAACTTGCATAATGCATAACACATAGTATATAAGAGAATCAACCAATCAGAATCGTTCCTTTCCTTGTATTTTTCGGAAAAGAGAAACTTTGATTGGTTGATTCATTTACTTTGCGTTGTATAAAAGTGTGTGCTACGGGGGGGGGGGGCTTAAGAGATACGTTTTTCAGTAAACTAATTAGATGTTTTCTGTCGAAGGTGATGACCAAAATGGCGTCTCATGAGAGCAGCAAAGGTTCGAGAAAATCGTCCATCGCAGACAAAGTAAACACGACAATAAAGTCAACAACGAACGAAGTAAAATCAACTGTTTTACCGCCAATTGATCGGCATGATGAGCTGAATGAAACAGCTGCTGATACAAAAGAAAAGAATTTAACATTAGATACAACTGCTGATTGTACAAGCGTGGAGAAAAATGATTCTGATGATATAAAAAGCAGTGATTTTAAATCGATGATGGATAAGCAGCAAGATACTAAGACGGGTAAGAAGCAAGAGACACAAAATGTAGAACCTCAAACTACAGATAAAGAAAAGGAAGTTAAGAGCGTAGATAGCAAAAATTTTGTTAAAAAAGGAGAAACTTTAAAGTAAGTATTGTGTATTATATCTTTGTAGAAAATTTGCACAAACTTGTGTTATATAAATATATAGATATAAAAATTATATAGATATATAGATATAAAAAAGAGGATATTAATATTTTCAGTAAATCGATGATGGTGGAATCTTCTAATTCTTCGATGAAAGAATATGACACGAGAGATAACAGAAAGAAATTGATGAAGACTGACTACGATCGATTTTGTTGGCAATGTCACAAGGAGAATATTGTTTACTGCACCATCTGTCCTCGCTCGTACCATCGTAAATGTATAGGAGGCATGCCATCACCTTTGGACAAGTGGATATGTGGGGAATGTATAACTATTTCGAAAGCAAAAAGCGCTGAGACGTGTTCCGTAGCCATGGCGCAAGTGACCGTCGATCAATTGTGTATATTGCTCAAGCAAGTGGTTGGACAGTTACGCAAATGTCGCGGCGTATGTATATCCTTTTTTATTAAGTGTTTATTGCGTTATTATAATTTACTTATTTAATGTATTTTTGATTAATTTTTATTCTTGATATAGATTGAGCCATTTTGCAAACCAGTGGATCTCGTAGAAGTACCAAACTACCTCGAATACATTATCAAACCGATGGATTTGAGCCTTTTGGAATCGAATGTACAGGCTAAGCTTTATGGCAGTACTGATGCGTTTATGGCCGATGCAAAATGGATTCGACATAACTGCATCGTGTTCAATACGTGTACGTAAATTTGCCGTGCTTTAATTCATGGTTTGTGAATCATAAGTATTAAAGATAAATTGATAAATAAGCTTATCTTTTATTGATATTTACAGTCGGTAAAGTTTACGTAGATACGTTGAAACTGACAAATGTGGCGAAGCGGATCGTCAAAGTAGCACGTCAGGAAATCTTAAAAATTGATGCATGTCCTGATTGCTATGATTTCAATTCTTCTTTTATTGAATCCTGCCGTCAACCTCATCCACTTGTGTGGGCCAAATTAAAGGGTTTTCCGTTTTGGCCGGCAAAAGCAATGCCTCGCACGAATGCTGAAGGAAACGTAGAGGTGCGCTTCTTCGGCGACCACGAAGTGGCCTGCGCCTGGGTGTCGCCGAAGGACCTTTTCTTGTACTCTGAAAAGCCACCAGCGCCATCTCCTCGTAAACAGACATCTGACATGAGAGAGCGTAAAAGAGAAAGCATAAAAGAAATTAGTCTTCATTGTGAAGAACTCAAGCTCAGGTTTGGCCAGTTCAAATTTGCTTCATCCAAAATTCAGTATAACCCGAATGATTCATTCCAGATACAGCTAATGCTACCAAATTACATTCCCCTCGAATCCAAGAACGATCTTCCCAATTCCAAAGTTCCCACATCTCAAAAGAAGAAATCGCCGAAGAGAAAAAGACAAAGTTCTTTTAAAGGTAAATCACAGAGTGACGAATTGACTAACATTAATATGAAATAAATATTGACCCGACAAGTGATGCTTGTGAAAAGAAGAATGAAGCAACATCGCCAAAAAAAAAAAATTAAATACCGATGTTAAGGATACTTCAAGTTCGCAAACTGATTTAGATGATAGCAAGTTGAATAAGAAAGCAGATCAAGAAACTGTAAAGTTAAACTCTCAAGATCCTATAATGAATAAATATTTGTTGTTCTTCATGGCCAATAAAAAACCTACTGAGCCCGCAAAACAGGTTGCGTCGACGATCGACCTCAATCAAGGCAACAACGAGGGACATCTTAATTCGTCACAAAAAGGTAAGAAGAGTTTCCTTAAATTTAATTTAAAACAGATTCAACGTTCATCGAATGCAGATGGAATTATGAAGATTTCTCCGATTGGCCGAGAAACACCATCCACATCTCAACTGACACCTCTAGAGGCTGGATTGTTCAGCACACGTCTGCAGCATGAACTTGCGATAAAAATGGACCATTTAATGGAAGAGGCAAACAAGGAGGCAGTCCAGAACAGCACTATTGACAATAATTAGGCGACCATACTTTTCCTGCGAAAGCAGATCGAGCATATGAAGGAGCAACATCAGCAGCAGTTAACCAAATTTGAACACGACGCCGGTATACCTGTTTTTTCTTTATTGCAAAAAAATTATTTAACAATTATCATTAACATAAGAATACTTCAGAAGGAAACATAAATTCCAGATTGTACTCGACGTGAGATGCGCGCGAGTATGGAAGCAGAGAAATTGCGATCGATTGAGGAAGTTCGTAAAGAAATCGAAGATGAAAAGAACCGATGTATCGAGGAGACCAAGAAGAAACAATGGTGTGCCAAATGTGGACAGGAAGCAACATTTTTTTATGGCTGGAGCATTGGTTACTGTAGTTATCTGTGCGAGATATCACATTGGCTCACGCGGACATTTTTTCAGTAATCTGCACAAATTTTTTCGATTTTAATTGTCCACCATCTTAATGTTGTTCTCATCAGTTTGTACCATTCGGTCCAAATTAATTACTGGAGTTTGAACATTGTTAACAGGAATAGCTGTTTTCACTAAATCTTGTTTCATGTCCTCGTTTCGCATTAATGAATCATCCAAATCAACAGAAACTATTTCCAAAATTTTAATATTGCTTGATGATTGCTCTATCTGTACAATATACTACATATTTAACGAGTTATTAAATAATTATCGTTAAATAATTATTATTTCATTGCACATGAGGTTTATATAATAATATATATACATTATATATTTAAAATAAATATAGCATCCATACCAACTCTTCGGCCATGAAGATATTTTTGACTTTCAAGGGTAAACTTTCTTTCTGCAGTATATTTAAAATTTGCTCTGTTACAGTTTTCACTTTACCGACATCCAAAAAAAATTTGACTTAAAATGTGGTAATATTTGTAATTAAATTAGTAAATTTATTTAAAAAAA